GGTTTTTTCCTTCAAAACGTGGCTCATTCCTGCTTTACTAAAATTGAAATTGGTGACGGCGTCCACTCTGGTGTTTGGTGATCATGTTCAGTGGTGAATTGGTGATCAAGTGACTTTCATCAAAAATACTGAACATGGCTTTAGTTAAAGATTTTATCAATTTGCAACTTATAATAAACCTTAACCCAGAACAAATGGCAGCATATCATCATTTAACATTTATCATTTATGACTATACTAGTAAATGGAATGCGATTATCATTTATAGCTATAGTAGTAATTGGAATCCGATTCTTGGTTGCACGGTTAATATTGGATTCATACTTCTCTGACACAGCTTATAGTAGTATATGAAGAAAAATCATTTCTTGAATAAGCGGGTCCCTGAATGCTGCAGCTGCTGTCACTGCCACCTACAGGCTTCTTTGGTATCGTGTTTTGGACAAAGCCACCACATCAGTATCTCGAAATACCGGTTTTTGCCTAGTGAGATCTGCACTTCCATGATTTACTCGACCTTTGGGTACAATTTGGTGTGTGGATAAATCAAACGGCTTGGTGCATATCCCAAGTTTGACAACAAATGTTGCTGTGCTACCTTTGTTGAGACCCTCACTCTCAATCCAAATGTGCCCTCCCATGAGATTAACAAACCTGATTCAATTATTTGCAACGTAAGTTAGGAAATATTTACGAATATGAGGCAAGCATGACTTTGCTTGGTATTTACTCTTTTTGTGAGTAAATAGTTAGACAACTTCTTCTACACTATGGTTCTCCTTGCAGTGTATTGAAATGCATAGCTTCCGGTATACCTTCTGCAAATGGCAAGTCCGAGTCCTGCTCCACCTGTACTTCTGTTGGAACCACTTCGAGATTGAACAAATCTGGTAAAGACAAATGGAATATCTTGTGGCGGAATACCACAGCCAGAATCAGTAACCTGCAGTTCATTATCAGAGATAACAGGGTCAACAAAAAACAACTGACATGCAATAGTGAGAAATCCCAAACAATCTCTACAAAGCGGGAACGAAGAGAGACTAGCCAAATGAATCACACGGTCACACCCACAAGCCCATACTTTATATGAGCACCTCAACTTACCCATATGACTTCGAAAGCTCTCAAATTTTAAACAGCAAATCTTAGGAAGAGTACCTTGAACTTTATAAGGTACAACCCGGAGAGAGCAAAAGACAGGAAACTCAAATGAAACAAGCTTAGTGAAGTTAAATGCAGTAGTCAACTACCTGTACTTGTAGGTAGAAGTGGCCATTGCTTGACACAGGGTAAAATTCAGGTCGCCAGTCTCTTGAAGAATCTGGTTTTGCAACAGACACTTTAATCGAAACACAACCCTCCTTTGTAAACTTTACAGCGTTACCCACAATGTTCAAAATAGTTTGCATGAGCCGTTTCTTGTCACCAATCGAATACGTTGGTAAATCCGGTGCCATAATCATATTCATGGATAACTTCTTTACAGATGCAATAGGTTTTATCAAATTAATGACCTACAATTACATACATAAAATAAATGATGTAATTAAGATGCCTATGAGAACTGTAAAGGAGCAAGCTTATTTTTAGTGCCGAATTAGTAGTAATTACCTCTCTGAAAACTCCATGAAGATTAAATGGTCCAATTTCTAATTCTAGACTACCATCTTCAAGTCGGGAAAGATCCAAAACATCATCAACAAGTGTTGTCAAGAGGTTACTACTCTTTAGAACTGTCTCTATCATAGCCCTTTGATCAGGAGTTAGTTCCGTTTCTAAGAGAAGTGAAGACAATGCAATAACTGCATGCATCAATGTCCTCATTTCATGGTTCATTACAGCACGGAAATCATTTCGAGCATGGATTGCCTTCTCTGCCTCTTGACGAGCCAAATCTAAAGCATCATTCTTCTGCTTGAGCTGATCACGGGCCCGCATAGATTCTTCCAGTATAGCAGCATGTGAAAGAGCAACAGCAACCTCATAAAGATTAAAGAATTATAATTAGTCATTGAAGAAGATGTTCTATTAGTATTTCTTCAACTTTTTCATTATAGAAGGGAGTAGCAGGCAATAAATGTAAGGAAGAAAAATTGAACAAGAATAGGAAACAACATGCAAAATGAGAGAATTTATAGAGTGGACGATTATTATTAATGGAGCATATCTAGATATTATCATTGAGATATATACCTGATCTGCAACTACTTCCACAAGTTCCAACTCATGGTCTCTCCATTTTCTACCACTGTCAGTAGGGAGGATCAGAACCATGACTGCATAGCTTTTTGCAGAGAAGTCAAGCCAATCACTGATTTGAAAATTTGAGTGATGTAAAAGAGGTACCCGGACAGCAACACTCTCAGACGGCCCGTGTCTTCCGACAAGAGGTCTGGTCCTTGCCAGTGGGCAGTTATAGGGTAAACGCATTGCTCGAGCAGTACCAAAGACTTCATTGATTATAGGAAGGTTTATTGGCACAGAAGACACTTGCATTTGGTGGTTTAGAGTATGAGAAAGTTCTAAAGTGATACTAGTTCGAGAAGGCATCCACAATGCACATTCCTCCAAGCCTAAGGTCCTACCTAACTCAACAAGAGTGGTTCTTAAAATTGTATCTCTATCGAGTGTGCTTCTAATTTCATGAGTCAACATTCTAACATGTCTTCCAGTTTCTTCTTGAGTAAGGATAAGGCCCATCTCCCGGTCAAGCTCTTCGGCCCTGTTCTTCAGGAATAGTTCTCGAGTTTTGACACTCAATAGATCAGGAATAATGTAAACAAGTAGCAAAGCAGTTAGACATGACACAAGAGCACAAGAAATCTTTGCAACAGCCATCACCACAGCAACGGCCTTGGAGTGCAGAGAGAATGTCCACAAGTTTATGAAGTGGGTTGCTCCACAGAGAATAATAAAAGCACCAAACTGCATTAGCACCCATCTGTATGGGAAAAATGCTGACTTCTGCACGAAATATATAAGCTCCAGGGGAATGGAGAAATATGCAAGGGCAATCAATACATCTGAGATATACTGATATTTCACCAGGAGTTCATCCTGGGGCCATTGAGTATCAATGCAATCACAAGACTCCATTGAACAATTGCCTTATGGATCTGAGAATTAAAAAGAAAAAAAGAAGGCTATAATGACATAATGATAACAGTATATATCACTACAAAATATACTATACAGCAGGCTAATGCTAGATCCGAAGATCAACATGTATCAATGCCATAAAACACAAGAGATGACATTTTACAAGCATATACACCAGTATACAAAGCAAAAATATCACATTATGTATCACCTTCCCCTCATTAAATACACACAAATCAAATTATGCACATATTCTCCCAACAATGTTCTGCATCAATGTCAGTATCTTTCAAAAACTGGGTCTTAAGCTGTTCACCAAAATCATAGTTTTACCTTCTTCATAATGTCTAGGTTTCTCTTAATTCTTAAAAATCACGCGAGAAAATATCCCGATATATGCTTTAGATTACAAAGAAAAGATCAGACAAGATCTGTCCTTGATCCTCAAACTTGCTTCTTAAGCAAAAATTTAACTTGAAACTATTTTTCATCAAAATACAAACCGTGCCTAAGAAGCTACCAAAACCTTGTAAAGCGAATTCACAAAATTTTCCTACCATCATTAACTAACCAGACACACGCTCTACACTAATTTTACAGTTTACCCCCAGACCTCCAAGATCAATCATATATTATGCGTAAAAGCTTCTCTGCAGTGGTGCTTATCCACATAATCACAGCATGTTTAAAGCGAAATTAGCAGACTATTATTTTTAAAATCTGGTTAACCTTTAAAACTCAAAATAAACGAAATTTATAAATAGTGCTAATGAATTTCAGAAAATGTTATTACCAAGGTGATTAAAAAGAGTAAAGTGGACGGCCAGAAATATTACCGGGAATGAGTGAGTAATCTGAGCCTTACATTTTAAGCTCTCACCAAGAGAAGTTGTTGTTCAAGTTGACCGCAGAGAAGTACAGTAGTATTTACTATCATATGAGGAAAGTGGAGGGAGACAAGCATGAAGAAGAAGAAGAAGAAGAAGAAGAAAAGTTTTAGAAATAAAACTTATAAGAGAAATTGCATTGCACGTGCGAGGATTGAAAATGCAATAGATTTTAAAAAAATATTCTGACACACGTGTGTTTAATTCAAATTGGACACAAATTCATTGAACTTAGAATAGCAAGTAGGGTCCAATTCTTTCAACAAATAAGGAGAAATCCATTCGGGATTTAGATAAAAAATGTCTCCATCTGGCATTATAAAACCTAAGAAAACTTGTTCAGGATGGTGATGATTACGACTGGTTAATGCTCGATTCAATGCACTACCTGCTTATATAATTCATTTGAATACTTTATAACTTTTTACTTAAAAATATTTGAACAATACTACAGTAACCAAAGAATGTATACTGAATTTATATATCGAATGATGTTGTGTAATCCTGATCGTCTATTAATATTAATTCATAACTAATAGATAGTTAAGATGACACTACGGTATACGAATTCGGTACGTATTCTTTGATAATGTATTATTTTCCAAAATATTTTTATACTCTTCAAAGTCTAAACATGATTTCCCACCCATGAAAAACGTGATGAAAGAAGGGTTAAATCACAAGCACACAGATAATATCAGGATCACGAGGAGGGAAAAAGGTTGTTTTGGGCATGTTATGCTGATATCCTATTCTCACCACATGATTTTGAATCAAGTGTTAAGGATGAAAAATATTACATAGAATTATTTTCCTTTGTCACAAAACCACACTAGTAAAAAGTGACCACACAATGTTCAATGTATCCGGTGAGCTTAGTCATCATGCCGCCGCCATCAAAATCAACGATTCAGCAGATGTGACATTTCATGTCCCACGCTGTCTTACGTTTTACATCCCTTTCCAATTTCACGCAAAATTATAATACCAGAAATCAATTGATGCACGCAATTAAACCTAACACCAGTACTTTTCTTATAACAACTTTGACAAGATCCAGTCAAGAAACAATTAAATTATACAAAATCCCTATTTATACCGTAATAAGATTCTGCCTCAACAAGTGCCAACTACTATTAAAACGCAGAATTCTAAGCACAACATAGATACACATGCGTTTACCTCAACGCACAAACATCTTACTTTAAGAACGTACTCCAGTCAACTAGTAACTTTAAATGATGGATCCTACATTTTTCCTCGGTAAGTAAGTTCTTTAAACTGCACCAACAGTTGATTAATACCAGTATGGGTACACTTTACTTCTTCCTTTTTTCCTTCACCTTTTTAGGAAAGCGTTCTTGAGGCTCTAAATGTACTTCAGCAAGCATTTTTAACCAAAGCTCTTCAAATTTATTGTGGAAACCCTTCTGAAACCAGTTCAGAATTTCTGAATGCAGAGCCCTAGAATCATCATCCCATGCCTTCTTTAACATTGCACAGCTGTCAATTGACCGGGTTTTTAGTTTACTTAAAAGTTTTCCAACCCTTCTTTGACCAGATTCCTCAGGCTTTAAAATTGTACTAGGTGAGGCAGCCATGAATTCCTGGACATATCTTAAGCATGGCAAGACCCGGCCTTCAAGCAAAGCACAAGCAAATACTGCCACACGATGCCCGTCATCACTACTAAATGGTAAACTATGCAATGGGAGCTCCCAATTATGAGGCCCAAAGATTGGAATGACCCAATAAAACACTTGGTCTGTTTGACAATCATAATAAGATTTGGAGGTTCTGAGAGATCTTGAAAAACTGCACAATGCTCGAGCGTGCTCAACAAGCCAATCTGATTTCACACATGTAGCTCCATGAAGGTACGGTCGTTTTGTTTGTAACAATTCACTGTACACCAAGAACTCAGGAGCTGAACTAGCAACAGATGACCGACGATGGAGAAACACATCTTCTTTAACCATACAGGCTTGATACCGAACTGCATTAACTTTTCCATCTTCTTTCAATGATCTTGCTTTTGGTCTAATACGTTTGGCAACTCTGTCAGCCCAGCCAGCACAAATAGCTCGGCATAAGAGTTCTTCCTCATTTTGTAAAAGGATGTTCTTACTGGAGGAAATCCTCCAAGAGTGTTCTACATCCTCCAGAGTCCCATAAGTCCATGAGAAATCCTGACCACAATTACCACTTTGATTAAAGACCAAATGAAGAAGTTGCTTTCTCAACTTGGACATTTCCTCCATGGTTTTCAGGTGCAAGGCATTTTCATTGCAGAATTCCACTGGGCTTTTAGAAAGTTCAAAACACTGTAAGGCATAAGATACAGTCAAAGCATCACTGGTAGGATTGGAGAATTTTTCTCGGGACACTTTAGCCACTTCTTTTAGTTTCTTTTTCCTCATTTTTTCTCGCTTGTGAATAATATTTTCACTCTCCAGAATATTGGAGCCCTCATTGAGGTTCAAGTCATCTCTATTATTCTGACTTCCTTCCAACTGCATGACAAAAGGATTTGACAAGCTCAAAGCTGCTGCTGCCGCTGCTGCGTATCCCAGAACTAGATTTGCTCGAGCACAACCTTTTGCTTTCATAATTTGGATAAGTGTAAGGAGCATGCGGGAGTGGCGGGGACTCATCGGGTAGTGAGCCATGGCCTTCCCCAAAGTTGTCAGTCTTCCATTGCTATCAAGAGCTTCAAGAGCCTTCAAACAACGTTCTGCTTCAACCAAAGCACTAGCCTCAGGAGGAGTTGGAAACGGGAAATTCGCAACCTATAGGCACCCAAAACAGGAAAAGAATTAGTAAAGGAAGATACTCAGTTTAAAACAAAAGAGACTAAATGTAAACCAGTTATGTTACCAATATACCAAAAACTTTGAGGAACAGTGCAAAAATTTTGTCATTAGTAAAGGAAGATACTCAGTTTAAAACAAAAGAGACTAAATGTAAACCAGTTATGTTACCAATATACCAAAAACTTTGAGGAACAGTGCAAAATTTTTGTCATTATCAGATAAAAGCATATATGCTAAGAAAACAAATGTTAATTTCCACTTGTCAACCCAATAACAAAAGGCCAAGCACCAGAAGAGCAGCATTCTGCATGATACACTTCTTTAGTGGTAAATTAAATGACTTGATAGATTCCTAGTGCTGACCCAATTCAGAAATGTAGTCAGGAAATGAATCACAGTTTTGACAAAAATCAGAGCACTCAACCCCCGTGAAAAGAAAAGATGTATGATGAATGCTGTCATTAACACCGAACTTTGACAAAAGAGAACCAACAACAGTATGTCTACCATGATCTAACAATAAAAAACTCCAAAATATTGTTGCCTAGTCATGTGTGCAAAATACAACCATTACTAGAAAAAGAATTATCTACTTCCCCAAAGAGAAAAAAATCAAAGATGTCACAAAGTGGTAGCTCAATGATGAAAATACTCATAAAACCCACCTTATCAATATTCATGGATTTCATTAGAAGGACCATGCTGTCAACGGGTACTTTAGATATTTCAGCACAGGAGAAGTCAGGAAGTATGTTACTGAAAACTGCAGATGAATAGAGGCGGTAGCAGTGGCCAGGCCCAGTTCTTCCAGCTCGTCCAGCACGTTGAGCAGCCGATGCCTTACTTATCCATTGTACCTCATATGATTCCATGCCATTTGCTGAGTTGAATTTCTTCACTTTCTCTCTTCCAGTATCAACCACATACTTTATTCCTGGAATGGTTAAGGATGTTTCAGCCACATTGGTGGCAACAACAACAAGCCGCTCTCCTTCCTTAATCTCTTCAAATACACGAAGCTGTGCTGCAGCAGGCAGCATGGCATAAAGAGGCAGAACACGCAATATACCATAGGAACCTTTATCAACTTCCATCTTCTCTAAACCAGAATTGAATTGCTCAGAGCATTGTTCTGGTGTAGTAGGAGTGGTCTGGTTTCTTTCAGCATTAGAGTCTAATGCATTTTTGTCAGCCAAAGCTTCAAAAGCCACCTTAAGAGAAGCAAGACTCCAGTTCTTCCCTGATACATCTACAATATTATCATCATCCTTTGGGGGTTCCTGCACCAGTAAATTTCCATCCTCACCAAGAATTTCTGTTTCGCTCTCAGTTTCTGAATCATAAGAAGCATCCGACTCATCTTCATGCAAACTAAACTGATCTTCATCATAAGAGCTAAACCTGTCAGTCTGCTGCTCAGTTGAGTTTCCCTGAATCTCAAATGCTTCATTGATCTCCTTCATATTAATGCTTTCCAAAGTGTTTGTTTCAGAGACAGCAGTGACCTCATCACCAATATTCCCTTTAGAAGTATTTGCTATCAGCTCCTTCGAAGCTTTACGTAACTTACAACATAAATATTCTACCTCCCTTTGACCCGTGACAAATACAAGTATGCCACCTTGTGGCAGCCTCTTGTGAATTGACATAACTTTTTTGTAGGCTTGGCCTATATAATCAACAATTTCTGTTCTCTTTGAGAAATGTATAGTCACTGGATACTGTCTGTTAGGAATTTCTATAACAGGAGGATCACGAAATAACCTTCCTCCGCAAATGAAGTCTTCCACTCGCATGGTAGCACTCATCAGAATAAGTTTTAGGGGAAAAATCTTATCTTTAGGGTCTAAATATTGTCCTGAAAGCAACAACTGTTGCTGCTTCTCATATAGAGCCTGCCACACAAGGTGCAACAAGACATATGTTAAAGATAAAGGTGAAAGCACAATAGCCATAAGCTTTCTACACTACAAGGCAACGACAGGCTTCACCTGGCGAGGTTGAATTATACGAGAAAGCATTCCAATAAGTATGTCTGTATTCAAGCTCCTCTCGTGAGCTTCATCCAGAATTATGACAGAGTATTTCCTTAATAAAACATCATACTGCAACCCACAAGTTATTTGTCAAGGAAACCATTTGAACAAGCATATGGAAGTAAATTTGCTTATCAAATACCAATTCACATACATTCCTGAGAAATAGAGACAATTAAAGACAGCATAGCACGTGATCAAAAGATAGCTTTGGAACAGAAATTCTTATAACTATAAGGATTTCTGGAAAAACTTCCATGAATATAGTTCTTCCAACCAAAAAAGAACGTAGTTTGGACAACATATTTCCAAAATGATTCAGTGAATTCCCTACCTTATAACTATTACAAACTAAGGTCTATCCACATACATGATTTTGAATTTGTATTAACCCCTCCCTCAGTGAGGAGAGATGAAGGAGTAGGGAAGATGTAAAAGACATTGAGAAAACATGAATGCACAATAGACATGATAAAAAAAATGTAGAAACCTTAAGAATAAAAAATAATCATCATAATTAATAATTCTTTATACGTACTCCTTTAGCATTCACACTATCACATACAAGTAAGATGTACTATCCAGAGAAAGGAAAAACCTTAAGTTCCCGTAGTAATATTCCGTCGGTCATAAACTTGATGGAGCAATTGTCACCAATTTTCTTGTCATGCCTAACTTGAAAACCAACCTCTTTGCCTAGATGAAGACCGAGTTCAAATGCCACTCGCTTTGCAGTGGCAAGGACAGCAACACGACGTGGTTGAGTCACACCAATAATACCACATCGATTGCTACATTGGTTAGAACCAAAACCAGCTTCATAAAGGAACTGAAAGGAGAAAAAAAGAATGCAGAATTATGTTTCCTGGAAACAAAGATAGTTTTTTAATCCTGGCAATAACCTATGGCCAAAAATTAAATGAGCCTACCTGAGGAACTTGTGTGGTCTTGCCACACCCTGTCTCTCCACATATAATAACTGTTGGGTTGTAATTTACAGCTTCCATTATCTCCTGCTCCATCATAACTATTGGAAGATCTTTCCTTTTGTTTTCAACCTCATTTGGTCTCGATACATGCACCACAGTTGGAGCTATAGGAGGTCTCTCCAAAGAAGCAGGAAGATTGCTAGTCCTGCCGATGTTTACATTTAGGCTCTCATCTGATGTAACCTGTCCGAGCGTCAAACCCCCAGTCTCCAATCAGCACATAACAAAAAAGTAATAAGAAGATATAGAAATAATGCTTTGATCAAAGTTTCACATGGAACGGACTATGTAATTATCTATCTTAGATAATAGTTCAGCGTCAGAAATCAGAGAATCAATATAATAGAACACAATGTCTCAACATTTTTAGTTGAGATGAACAATATTTGCTACATAATAGTTTTTCAATATCAATATCTACTTTCAACTTATTTATCACATCTTCAATTAAGTCAATTTTATGAAAGGCAATAAATAGGATTAGAGTATGCATGACACAAAATGCAAAGTAAATGTTAACCTACAAAATTTGATGCGGAAAGAAACATATAAAATTATAAGTCCTTTTCCATATTCTGATCATTAAAGGCATATGTTTATCATTTGACATTCCAACATCTAAGCATTTAAGCATACCATTGGCTTAGAACTCCTTCCACCATCATGAATAGATAACGTTGGTGCACAATTTCTAATGTCTTGGAGCATACTTGTCCTGCTGTCATTGTTTGAAACTTCTTCACAGGATAGAGCAGCAACAGATCCACCATTTGAAGGCTCCTGAGAAGAACCTATAGAAACAGAGGCATCATCCAACACATCTTTGTTAACCATTAATGGTTGCCCAAAGTCATATGCTTTGATAGGCTGCCCAAGATGGGGTTTGTCCAACACAGGTTCAGCTTCACAAGAAGCACCACCTTCACGCCTTCTCTTGCAACCTTGGTCGTTTTGCAGATCTTCTAAACCTGCCTTGGAAAATTGCACAGCATTCCTTTTCTTTTCAAGCCTAGTTTGAACCTACACAATCAGATGCCAATTAAGCAAATACAATCACAAGCCTACTTTTATAATATCTTAAAGCTTGCAGTGGTTCATCATACAGACCTTACCCATATCTTTGGAAGCCTCCAAAAGATTATATAAGCCTGTTGAGATCTTGTATTTCCTGAAAGTTTGAATTCCAAAGTATTTCTTGACCATTCATTGTGCTTTTGAGTTCACAAAAGAACATAACAGAGAGAATTTGTGGAGGAAAATAGAAAGAAAAAAAGGACATACTCTAAGTTTTCCATGGTTTTCAAAGACATGTACGCTTTCTCCTTCTCCTCCTGCAGAAATTAAAAGCGGTTCAATTATAATAATCACGGTAACCAAACAATTGAAACAAGGAAGCAGAGAATAGAATTGACCTCCAGCTTCTTTAACTTTCTTTTCTGAGCTTTGCTGAGGTTTGAATTTTCTTTTGCTTTAACCTTTTCAAACTCCTGTAGAAGAAAATTTTAAACACAAAATTGCTAACGTGATAGAAGAAATGTAAAATTATAGAGCTAAATATACCTCATTCATGTGCTTCAAGTTACATTTATTTGCCGGCAAAATCATTGCATTGCTATCAATACCCTCCAAACTACCAAACGGAAGCAAAGTGAACACATGTTCAGCTTGTGTTATAACAATTATTTCAGTTTTAAAAACTAAACTGAAAGTATAAAAAAAAATATTTTTTTCTTGTATCAATCGATGAAAAATAGTCAAAACTTGAACCCTATTTGAAAATGTTACTCACTTGCGTGAACCTTGTCGTTGCTTTGTTTCGCTCCTGCTCTTTCTTTTGGCCATAATTTTAACTCTAGAATCAGAAAAAGAAAACCACCGACTATGAAACGAGCTTAACTGAACTTTTTGGTATACTCGAATAAACTCTCCATTTGTTTCCAATAGTAGCAGTAATCCTCAAAACTAAAAATTACACCAAAACTGTAAGAAATTAGAGGGGCGCCGGCCGAGCAATTTTCTTGGCGTTGGTGGTTTGAAAAATCCCAGGGTTGTTTATATAAATAAGTTTTTTTTTTTTTTTTTTTTTTTTTAATAGAGGAGCTACGTGGCACTTTTGAGTTCTGGGCCGAGTTACTTGATCAACAGTCCAAAAAGTGTTTTTAAATGAGCCCATTGAATTGTGAAATTAAATCAACCCCCCCCAACCCACGATCGAACAAGGGCAAACTTGCAAAATAAAAATTAAAAAATTGATCATCAACAGTTTTTTAGGGTAAAATTAAAGAGTAATGCTACACCCACAACATCTTCTCACAAACTTTCTCTTATAACCCAGACGTGGTAGCTCACTATTGGTCAGACGCAATTTATCAGGTGAGACTCAAATAAAACCTATTACGAGCTGTCACAAGGAGGTTGTGAGAAGAAATTTGTGAGAAAAAGTTGTAGCTGTAACATTTTCCAAAATTAAATAAGCCCTTTGACTTGCTCCACTGTTAAGTTGCTCGAAAAAGGAAGGGTTAGGTCCAGGCGTCCAACCAAAAAAAATACAAGAATCAATATAATTACCATTTTGAGGAGCTAGATTCTTTCATTTTGACATATTTGCATATTGCCCGACACATAGCTGTATTTGATTGGTGATGATGTGGATTGTTTACATTTGGCTAGATGTTACTGGTGATGATGTGGAATAGATCGATGACTTGTATTTTATAGTATATGTGGCTTCATGTAATTGGTGTTTGATATTGTTTGTTATTAATGACAGATATTAATAACTTTATTGATTATAGTTTGTTTCACATTGACAATAAAAATTGTCATTTACATTTACATAACCTTATACACGTAACGTTATTGATTGTTTATAAATTTATGAGAATGTAAGGGGTCTTAGAGCATCTCCAATGGTGTTCTTTATTTTAAAGAGCATCTTCATTAATTTATAAATATAAAGAACAAAATTTTTATTTAAATCAAATGGATTCTTTAAATTTAATGAAGATGCTCTTTATTTTCAAGAAAAAGACTTAATGGGAGAGAAAATTAATAAATAAAATGTATAGAAACTTGTAGTTTATTGATTAAAATTAGGATAGAAAGTGAAATTTGATTATCTAATGTATAGAGTCAAACTCACTCTTTAATTTATATTTTAAAGATAAAGAGTTTGTTCGACTCTTGTTTTTATGGATAAACTCTTTATAATAAAGAGTTTTGGTCATATAAAGAGTCATTTGAAGATACTCTTACACGTTGTATGTAATTCACAATTCATTTATGTGAATTTAAGGAGTTTAAAAATATGAATGGTTTGATAAGTTTTTATTTTGTTACATTATATGCTTTATGTGTTGCTCTTTAATATAAACGATTAAATATATTTATGAGAATGTGAAGAGTTGTATACTTTAATTGGATGTACATAGTATATATATGTAATTATTTGTGTAATTTGGTACATTATTACCGGCAAGAAACTGAGCAAGAAACAGATGTATAGTTATTCGATATTGTAATTTTTATATGTTTATATTTTTTTGCTTATGTTCATGCCAATTACTTTTTCCTGAAATTTCATTTAGGTATATACAATTTGTGGAAGGAACAAAGCTGTTGCTTATATATCTTGGTGAAGGTAAAGTTATTCGATATTGTAATTTTTATATGTTTTTATGTGATGTTCTTGCCAGTTCCAGATTATTTTTAATGTTTTTTTTTTTTTTTTAATATAATGATTTATATTATAAGTTATGGTTTGGCAAGCGAACCATAATGAATCATTGGTATGTTTGTGATTATGTCATAAGAACTCCACACGGCGAATCATGTAGAGCACTATGAGCGGCTGAAGTATAATGATTTATGTTATAATTTATGGTTCGACAGCTGAACCTTAATGGACCATTAGTATGTTTACAGTGGCGTCGCACATGATCTACAAGGCCAAACTATAATGATTTATATTATAAGTTATGTTTCAGTAGCTGAGCTGTAATGAACCATTAGTGTGTTTGTGATTACGTCACAGGAATTCCACACAGCGAATCATGCAGAGCACCACAGCGAACTATGCAGAGCACTTATTGATTATTCAACTATAATTTATAATTTTCAACATACAATTCAATTGCCGAATTATGTTGGTTCATAATTGATATAACAACTACTTTTTCCTCAAATTTGATTTAGGTATATACGATTTTTGGAAGAAACAAAACTGTTGCTTATATATCCCTATGTAGGTAATGTCTGTTTTTATTTGTTTATTTTCATTAAAAATCCAGTTGACCAAATTATAATTTTATATATAACAAGTTAATGTTTATATGTCAAACCATAGCGATGTTGTCGGACAAAATCTACAAGAGCGAACTATAATGATTAATATTATAGTTACAGTTCGGCAATCGAACCATAATGTATCATTAGTATGTTTGCGTTTATGTCACAAGAACTCGACACAGCGAAACATGAAATTTTTGATTATATGGTAAAAATCCAAGTGTTGAATGATGTTGCACCATTACTATACGTTATTGATAATTGTCTTTTTCCCCCTGCAGGCAATTCATTGCAATATCTTATTGTTCGCTTAAAGATCTTAACCAATCACTTGAAGATTGGATGATCGTTGCTAGAGTAATAAGATGTTGGGAATGTATTAATTTTAAAATGAATAACGATGTGTTTAGCATTGATATGGTTTTGATGGATGAACAGGTACAAAATATAAATATTTATATTAGTTAAAAGTTTTATTATTTATAAATTACACATAACTGTTAATGCTTTTCATTTTCATTGGTTTTATAGAGCAATGTGATGTATGGAACTATACCAAAAAATAGGGTTCCCAAGTTTAGAAGCCAGATTCATGAAGGTTGTATATATCTCATTAGAAATGTAAGGGTTATATGATGTGCTACTTCTCATAGACCCGTGGAAGGCACATATCGTATACAATTTCTGATGACCACATCTTTGAAGGAGATCAAAGAACCAAGAGTAGCCATTCCAAAGTTTTATTTTAAATTTTCTAGTATTTATGATATTGAAAATAGATCACATGATACTACTTTGTTGTCAAGTATATTTAGTTTTTCTTATAGATACTTCAAATCTATGAAAAATGAAGTTATATATTATATTTAACATAAATAATGATATACAAATGTGATTGGTATTCTGAATGGAAAAGGAGAAACTCAAGAAATTGTATCAACAAAGAGTAATAAAAGAGATATTAGATTGCAAATTGAACAATAATTTTTTTTTTCAATACTAGTACATCCTACTATCAATTGATATAACTTACATTGTCATTAATTTCAGAGAAACAATTAATATATCTTTTTGCGGAAAAATCTGTGATGAAATCAGTGAAGTTGTGCAAATGGAAAATGGCAAGGCTCTTGTTATGATTGTTACATAGACCTGGCAAACGGGCGGGTATGGTCCGGGTAGCAACGGGTCGCGGGTCAACGGGTGAAAAATTCTCACGGGTCGACATTTTCATGATCCGTACCCGCCCGTGCGGGTACGAGTCACTCGCGGGTCACCAGTGAAAATGGAAGCAGCCTTTTACATTTTTCATATTTTTTTACTGTTTTTTTTAATTCAAAATTTCAAATTGCATACTAAATTATATTAATTTAAAAACTTGATATAAAATTCATTTATTAAACTTATTAGTTATTAACTTATTATATTAAATAAATGGATGATTAAATTAAATTTGATTAGATTTCACCAAACATTATTAATTCAATATTAATATTTTTCATATTTATATCAAACTCTATCATATAGATAATAGAATTAATAAACACTAAACATACATAGTAATTACTAATTAGTAAACACTAAACATATAAAATTGTTTAACATTCAACATACATAACTTAGTAAACACTAAACAATTAAACATTTATAATTGTTTAACCAAAGTACCAAACACACTAAACAAACAAAGCCGGCCTTGATTATGCAATCTCCTTCCCCAACACTTGACTTAATGGCACAAGCAGCTGAACATTATCAATTTCATCTTCTACAATTAACAAGATATAAGTTAACTATCGTAATATATTAATAAACAAAAATATTAAAACATGTGAAATATAAGTTAAAATGTTACCTTTAACTTCATATCCATAAATCCATGTCTTGGTGCATATCAAAGACTCTACATTCTCTAGTAAAAGTGAACTTCGATATTTACTGAGCACTTTGCTACCAATACTGAAACTGGACTCCGAAGCAACAGTCGTTATTGGTATACTCATCACATCACGGGCCATCATTGCAAGTATTGGGTATCGATCACTATTTTTCTTTCAATGGTCCAGGATATCCAAATTGCAAAATTTGATGCGATCAAACCTTGTCTCTCCCAAATAAGTATCTAATTCGGACTTCTTAGTAGCACTAAAGTCACTCTTGTAGTAGTCAAATTTCTGCACCATTTAAATATTTAAATTTAATAAAGCAAATTACAAAATAAAGAAAACTTTATTAATCACAAGAATATAAAAATATTTAGGGAGTATTGACTTATACAAATATCATCTCCAATGATATTAGGATTACTAGCTTGTACGCAATCATCTCCAGTGGGAACTTCATTGTCACTTAGACTCTCATAAGCAGCAAAAAGCCTATACAACTCCTGCTTGACCAACTCCAACTTTCTTGTTGCAACTACTGGGCCATCAACTTTTTTGTAACAAAACTCAACAAACTCAAACTTGAAACGTGGGTCCAGAATTGCTGCAATTGCTAACACAACAGTATAAGAATCCCAATATTTGTCAAATTTTCCTTTCATTTGACTTGCCATGGTACTAAGAACTTCATCCTCATTTTCCATCTCTTCATATAAACGCACTTGAACTCTCCACACATTTCTGAGATACAAGTTTGCTGTGGGGTATTGGGAACCCGAAAAAAGAGTAGTGATCTCATAAAATGGTTGCAAGAACTTGCAAATCCTCTCCCCCCTATCACATTCTTCATTTGAAGGACAACTTT